TCCCATAAATGAATAAACAAATAAATAAATCTTATCATTTTGTTATCTCATTAAATTCATTATTCAATTTGAAGTTAGATACACGTCTTGCAATTCTAAGATGATTTTTTTTTTTTTAGAAAGAGACAGTGATAGAGAGATAAGTTATCATTTTTGAAGTATTACAGATGGTCATCGTTGAGCAATTTTTGATTTGTGACATTTACGCAATGTATGCTCAGTGATATAAAGATAGGAGATAGAGAGGATTCGAACGATTGAAGATCATACGAGAGAATCGCTTGTTTTCGAGGAATTCCTGATTTTGTAACGACTCGCTTTTGATGACCTTGCCTGTTGTCACTTTCACCGGTTCTTAGTCTACAGGGTCGGCTGTTGGTTGCTTGGGATCCGCTTGGATACTTATCTTCATGTTTTGCATAGATTCAGCTTATCTGGTATCTTTATTTTGTCCAAACTGAGTTTGATCAAACTATCATAGTAAACTAATGAATTTGATAATTCATATCAAAGAATGAAACATCTAAATGATTAAAGTAATAAGCATTTTATTCGAAGAATAATGATTTCATCATTCGTCTCATATAAATGATTAAATTCGTAAATATATAACATTTACATGTATGGATCATACATGATATTTTGTCGACGACTTAACACGGATAACTTTCACTGTCAAATAACGTATGTCATAAACCAGCTACGAGTGAGGATGCAGAATCATTTCTTTTTTTTTTTTTTTTCTACTGAGAAGGGGAACTCTCATTTGCGATCATGCTAAGATATATCTGGTGCGTGAGCATGAGAATGACCTCGTCTTAAAAGATAATACGATGGTGTCTTAATATTGCTGAAATATCCCGTTATATGAGAAATATATTGTGTTTATTAAAAAAAAAATGATGAGCGATCGGTTGATGAAATAGGAAACTTTCGCTAATAAGAAATAGAAATTTGTCTTCTCAGATTATTATAGCTAATTTTTTTTTCTTTTTCTTTTTTTTTTTTTCGTAAAAATCGATGTTTAATCAATAATAATAATAATAATAATAATAATAATAATAATAGGACGAGTTTTCTTTTAGTTATGAGAATTCGCATTGGATGACTTCCTCGAAGGGAAAGGCGGTGGTATGTGCGTGGGTGTAAGAAGAGGTGTGGTGCATGCCTCAAGTATAATGCAACGAATTATTTGAGTAGACAATTTTTGATGTGGACAAGTAATAGACCCTGCAAATGGTACACTCTCTGATAAGTTTTGATTTGACTTAATTGGGTTACTCGATCATCAAGGATTCATTTTTTATCGAAGGTTAATCGACTCGTAGTTACGCTTGAACGGGTAGACGACGAGTCAATTTGATTCTTGTTTTTCAGAATGAAGGACGGACTCGATGGCCTCTCAAATTGTTTCAAGGCTATGGTGAATGCAAGAAACCAAAAGAAAAAAAAGAAAAAAAAAAAAAAAGAATGAATGGTTCGAAATGAATCAGATTCCTTGAATAATTTTTTTTTAAACAAACCAACCTGAACGAATTCACATTCTATGACGTTTGGTGTAATAAATTGTAATGTTTATTTGATATCTATTAATTAAAATTGATCGCTACTTTGAAAACTTTCCTTCCTATCGATAGGTTTCACTAATTGTAATTTTCTCATATAATTTATTTCACCATTAAATCGAATAGCGGATACGGTGGTTATTCTTGTGATTACTTCACTCGAGTTAGACTCGACAATACTATGACTGCAGTAGGTGCAGTGAAAAGAGAACTCTACTTATGTTCGGCCAGATGGAACGATCGTGTAATGCCGGTAGCTGGATAAGAATTATTGTTATTATGACTCTGTCGATCTTACATCTTATAAAGAAAAAAAAAATGGGGGAAGATATTACTCGTGCTAGTGTCATTAAATAAATCATTATTTAATACATTTTATACGTAAGACGTTGAATATTCAAATTGTGCATTAATTGATCATTCAAAATAATTACAGTTAATTAAACACCTTCAAAATATAATTACGGTTTTTAAGTATTACATTTAAAACATATATATATATATATATATATATGTAATATTCAACAGTTTCGAATGTAGTTTCTCGAATTGATTCAAGTGGTTTTGATTAGATAATAAATAATCCTTTTAATCATTATTATCAATAGTTAAAAATGTCTGCGATCTTCCTGATGAGGAAGATGTTCAAGATTTTAATTTCCATCACGGAATTGTTGAAATCAATATTGATCAGTATATCCGATCCAAAGCATATATTTTGTAGAGTTTCTATTACTTTACCACCTAATTTAAACTTTTACAGTCAAATAATACAAATTTACATTTCTTTCATGATTAATTGAAGATCCTAAATTAGACTATACTAAATAATAAAAAACAAAAATTCAAGTAGTGCCAATGTTAACCTTTACAATGATATATAACCTAATGATAATTAGATAAATGATAATTAAAACAAATTAGTATGAAATTAAATATAATAAAAATAGCAATTAATTTTATACCTGGTTATTAAACATTTTCTCTTAATAGCTGAATTGGTAAAGAGTTGAACTAAATTAAATAATTATAATAATTCGATGAATAGAAAAATTTGACAAATTTAGATCACGCTGATTCAAATCCGGATTAAAAGAATTTTCTTAAATGAATAATGACTCAGGATTGAGATAAATTTATACAGCTCAATCCTTACCTTGTTCCGTTGGTAGAGTTTAGTTGGAAATCAATAATACGATGTATAAACTTCCAAAGAAGAAGGGATACTTTTTTTTTTCTTATTTCAATATTAAAAATATATATAATTAATTTTATTTTATTTTAGAGAAATGTTAATTTAAATAAATTATAAATATATATAAATAAAATAAAAATGTTCATTGGCAGTAATATTTAAGTAAAATAATACATTTTGTCCAACTTCTTTCAATTCCTTCGATAGCTCAGTTGGTAGAGCGGTGGACTGTAGTTGGGTTACATTGGAAAACAGATATCCATAGGTCGCTGGTTCAAATCCGGCTCGAAGGAAATTTTTTTCTCTACTTCGACTCGTATACGAGTGGAGGGATGCCATCTTAAATTTTTTTCTTTGTAACATAGTTAATGTAGTAAATATATGATCAATTATGTTGCCAAAACATGTACCTTCGATAGCTCAGTTGGTAGAGCGGTGGACTGTAGTTGGTTAAATTCGATATCGGACATCCATAGGTCGCTGGTTCAAATCCGGCTCGAAGGAAGGTAATTTTTTTTTCTTTCTTATTTTTTTTTTTTTTTTAGTAGGGAATTTTTTTTTCATTACAATAAAAATATACATTTTTTAATCTTTTTCAATATAAAAAAATATTCATGAATAGTCCAATTATGTAAAAATATTACAATTTTGATGAATAATTTCAACTTTATAAATCTTAATTATAATAAAAACATACAATTAATAATAACTTGATATGTTTTAAAGAAAAATATTCAAATAATATAAATATTAAATATTAACAAATAAATATTTTCTACTAAATAAAATTTGATAAAAAATAATTATAGAAAGGAAAAAAAAAATAAAAATATAAAACGGCTATTATACAAGTCTAAATTCAGTCACCCACTGACCTAGTAGAATATCAATTTCACCGGCATACATTTTGAGTGAAAAACAACGAACATCGATATAGTATCTTAGATGCATACATAATCATTGTCCATAATTTGTCTCGATATCTCGATATATAATCATCTAGGTTATTTAAATTCGTGAATTGTTTGGACAAATTTAGAGAATTAAAAATAGTACTGTAAAGAATTTGTTAGGAATGAGGAATAATAATAAAATAAAAGAATAAAAGAATCAATAAACGATGGTGCATGGGAGCAGATCATCGCACGTGATCTCTTTGGCATCTTGAGTGCCTTCGAGCGCGCCTTTCGAGGTATAACCGAGAACGGCCTTGCCGTTATACAGGGATAGTCAGCTTTCTCTACTTTCGCTTGCGCGAGATTTTCAGGTCCAACCGTTGCCATTGCTCTGGCTTCATACGAGTGCTTCGTTAGCTCGCTATTTTTCATTCTCGTAGTTGACTTGAATGACAACTAAGTAACGTGTACGAGTTATACATTTGATTTTTTTTTTTGTTTATTCAAGAAGAAAATTATTTCAAGAATATAATTATAATAATATAATTATTCTTGTACAACATCCTGTAATTTTGAATGAATTAGATATACCCATATTTAAAGTATCCAAAGAAAAAGGAAGATGACTACTGGTTATACTCGACGAAGATGCAAACCGTTGATAAACCGAGTTGCAAAATCTATATGTCGGTTGATGAAAAGGAATTTCATCGTGGGTATGATGTCGCATTTGCATGGGATGTGTAAAAAGATGATCGAAATGCGATGGTCACGTAAGTGCGTGCGAGCGGAAGAACGCTCCTTCGTAAAGAGAAACTTTCTATTACGAGAGTGTCGTATGGATGGTAATCATCATCGAGAAGATGATCATATAGGTTTATTACATATCTCTTGTCGTTTATTGTACATATAGTATATTCGAAAGGTATTAGATAGGTAATTCTCTCGCTTTCTCTCTCTCTCTCTCTCTCTCTTTCCCCTTCTAGTGATCAAAAGAATTACGAAGGTACGTATAGAATCATACAAAATAAGGTTGATCGTTTGCGACGAGTTGAAAAAAATGTTGGACGTTAAAAGACACCTTATTTGTGTTCTGTATGTGGAAATGGCGCTTAAAGGATTGAAAGAGGAAAGGCTGCATTGGAATGCAATCGTCGTTGGTGAGACTTCAGCAGTGTCGGCTGTTTGGTATTTCACGAGGTTACTGATATTTTTTTTCTCATCCCACCTTCATCCGTACTGCCATCTCTCTCCCTCTCACTCACTCACTCTCTCTCTCTCTCTCTCTCTCTCTCTTTCTCTTTTACATCTTTTCTCCGTATAAAAAAAAAAAAAAAGTAATGGAATTCCATAGAGATGAAGCTGTGATTATCCTTTCTGTAAATAGCTACATAAAGAAATTGAACAGCGACAACTAGACGATGTCGTTAATATTTTTTGATTGATTACCAAGATGTTCATTTATTAGCCATAACTTGACAACTTTCAAGACTAAAATAAACCAAGTATCGTAGTACTTTGCAAACTATAATGACAAGTGTTTTCATGCTAGGAACTTACCAATGCTTATCTCTATGGAATGCATAATGCAAGAGGGAGCATTCATGGTACCCCGGATCTTAAGCGAGTTCATGCGAACGTTGTACTTTGACTTTGGTTTCATAACACGATTTATTCATTTGAACAAACAAACACAAAATTATCATTAAAATTAGCTATTTCATTATTTTAGAATATAATAAGATATATCGTAGGTAGTTATCTACGTAAAGAAAGAAGATTTGTCTGAATGATCAAAGCATCTAATTTCTAAATCAAAGAAACGACATGTTGGATTCTATTCATTCGATTTCATCGTGGGTGAATTCAAAAGAAAGAATTGTCGTTTCGTAATTATTCTTCAATGGTGAAAAGATGTATGTTTATAAAGATTTGTTTTTCTTTTTATTTATTAGCCGTTATCGCACTTGATTTTCCATTTCTTATAAGTCACCCTAGTTAGTGAACGGCCTTGATCTTAATATAATTTATTATTTAAAGAGAAGGATGAAATTATTAAGGTCGAGGTTGATTGACGACCACACCCACTACCCACGTGTTGTCCAAGAATTAAAGGAAAAGGTTTAAGACGGTGGTAAGTAGACTCGTTCAAATTTATCGGGATCTTTTATTAAAGGTTTATTCTTTTGTAAACGATGTTGGTACTATCACTTATTTCTTTAAAAATATACATACGCAATAATATTTAATATTTATATATATATTTATGTATATATATATATATATATATAGTCTGGTCGACCCTTAGAAAAATGTAAGGATGTTCCATTGAAAAAAGAAAATGGAGAGGAGCGTAAGTCTTCTCTCCAAAAGATGTAAGATGGGAGAAGCGAGAAAAGAAATGTAAGAAGGGTGGTTTAAGAAAAGGCAATTGGGATATGCGTCTTATTATTATTATACATCGAGTGTTGCCGTAAAGCTTGTCTTAATGAGTTTACAGTTTCTCTTCAAGACTATGAAAGACGCCGGGATTGGGGTATTGGATAGAAAAAAAGAACAAGAATATAGGTGGAAGGAAAGAAATTATGTTAGCGTCGCCGACGTGGCTGGAATTCCGCAAATACTCTCGTCATCGTCTTCGTCGCCGTCTTTTTTTTTTTTTTTTATCCTGGTCTTTGTCTTTCCAAAAATCTCAAGGATACGAGTTCGAGGATTTATCACAGATCGCTGGCGCTGGCGCGCGTTTAAAATGTAGCCCGATCGAAAGATGATCAATCTTTCTATCTTTAACTATCATTTTCTTTCTCTTTGGGGATTTTGAAGAAAGAAAAAAAACAACAATTCCCTGTTACAATCGTTACTCGATTATGATATGATTTCGTCGTGATCGTTGATTTTGGAATAGAAAACGCAGGTCAGTCGGCGGCGATCGTCCGGGCGTCACACGTTCCATTACGAAGTTTGGAAAAGGCAAGACACGTTCGACTAGGAACGAGCTAATTATAGGACGCGGCGGATATGTAGGGACGAACGTAAGAAAATGGGGTAGAAGAATTGACTTAGACGAGAAGAAGGAACGAGGAGATAATACTCGTTTACAAGTAGAAACCGTCGCCTGTAGGATCATCGATCCATGGATAGTTGTTAGGGCAACGTACGCAAGTTTGAAGGTTTATGGTTTCTCCGGGAATGTCTTTTGCGGTCAATTTACAAGTGTGAGGAACCCAACAAGCTGGTGGTCCATCAACGACGCACTTCTCTTTCCAGGACTCGAAATTTTTCGATTCTGATATAGTACGGGGATTCTGGATCCATTGGATTACTTGGGTCATTGTTACAAAGTAAACGTCTTTTTGGTTTTCCAATATGTCATCGATCCAATAGAGGAAAGCGTCGAGGAACTCAGGATTGTTCTTTAACCAGGCAGCATGGAAATAGAGACCAAGTGGTGCGCGATTTTGTTGATAGTGACGGTTGAAATTGTGGTTAAGGAAGTCCAAGAATTGATCTCCGGTCAAGATGTTGCTGCAAGAGTCGACCATAGCACAACCAGGTAGATATTCATCGTTCTGGGGATCTTCACGACGATCCAATTCGTTCATCACCATTTCCCAGACAGCATGCGATCTGAATACAAATGTAATATTCATTATATTTTTGATTATTTTTTCATTTGTTTAAATTCCTTTGTTTTTAATATCAAACTTACCTCGTTGGACAATGCTGAAGATTTCCATGGCAACGATGAGGCATCCTGAAGTACATAGTGTAAGGCCAAAGTGGTGGGTTGTTCAATGCCGCAGTAATCGTTGAATCATATAAGAAGGATTGTTCTTCCATCATCGTGAATTGATTGTTACCACCTACTCGAAGGTAAGGTGCTCTGACGCCAACAACAGTGTTATCAGTGATGTTTGCAAACTTCTCAACTATAACTCTCATACCAGCCATTTCTTTAGCCCATTCGTCAACCGTGGCGTTAGACCAGAAACGCTCGTTATCATTATGTCTATAAAATACAAATAATTATTCACAACCATCGGCTCATTGAATTACATGTAATACAATAATATGCATCATCGTTGGCTAGTAAAAAAATGTTTTTGCTTACGAGATCGAGTGTACTGCAATCTCATGGCCTTTCCTGTGCATCTCTTGTACGGCCGAGTAATTAGTGTATTTATGAGAGACGAAGAAGGTGGCCTTGATGTCGCAACCATTAGGATTCTTGCGTTTTCCGTTGAAGATCTCTTTGTAGAGGCCGATATTGTTGTTGTTGATGGCATCGTCGAAGGTTATCGTAATCATCTGCGGCACGTCCTTGGATGGGAGATCTCCGGGTATACTCGTTCCATCTTCGGAACAGAAGCAATCCGGAAGTACGCAAACAGCAGGGTCACAAGGAGGGGCGCTGTTTGGGTCATTGTCCATATCTGTAATAAGAATGGAAAGTTAATAACATAGGATCATCTTTAGATCCATTAGAAAGTAAACTTGTTTAAAGAATACACTTCTCAAACTTACCACAAATATTTTCATCAGATCCATCGGTACAATCCTTTTCACCATTACAGAACAGACCTCTCTCTATACAAGATTGATCAGCACAAGCCAAGTATCCATCTTGGCAGAGAGGTTCCTCGGTATAGAGAAGGGGCTTCGATTTCCTCTCCTTATTTTTAAGCTTGCAATTATTAACCGAGTCCTTCCAATCGCATGTTTGTTTCTCAATATCGAAGTAGAGTCCAGCCGGGCATCTTATAGCTTGGAGACCGGAACTCGTGCACTGAATAACGTCACGACAGTTGTCGCCCTCACCGGCTACCAACCTGAACCATTCTCCTGCCTCTTTCTCCTTACAGATTTCGTTCTCGAAACTTTCTTCCTTCTTGTCTTCTTGTCTCTTAACTCTGGTAAAGCCCTCTAAATATATAGAGGTATTGATAATGTTTGATCGTTAAGATTCGAAAGTATTTCAAGGGTAATTCATTTACATAATGAAGAAAATTCTTGTTAATATGTTTAGATCGTAACCGAAAGCGAAGCGACCTTCCACGGTGAACGGTATCGTATTTTACGCGTTTTTGGTTCCACGAGCTCTCGATAGTATGGTTTGTATGGTAAAGCGACAAACGGGGAAAGTTGTGCCCCCCACTGCTACTTTTTCAGACGGCAGGGCACGGCAGTGACGTCACCCATCCGGGACCGACCGAGGCTTTCACGCTCTAATCTCTTATGCAATTTATCGTCTCTCACTTAACAGAATCCGCGTAAAGAGATATTTTCTCCCGCTTTCGAGTTCTCGATTGGAGCCGGGAAGTCCGAGCCAGGAAAGTGATTGAACGCGTCTCTCTCTCTCTCTCTCCATCAAAGAACAGGAAAATTCAAAGAGGGTACCGACTTTTATATCCATTTCCGCCATTTTGAATCCACGCGATAAGTAACGCATGCATGTTTTCTCGAGATACCTCATAGAAAATGAAAGTATTTCAAAGTAATCATGAGAATTGTAAACGGGTTTACGATTTATCATAACTTTACTATTAATCGTTGATTAAAAAAGCAAATTTCATCGTTGACCGAGCAAACAGATGTTCATCATTCTAAATGTATTGATCTATTTTCAAAAATTTATCTTATTTGGTATCACAAATCACATTGATCGATGATTTAAACTCACCGGTATAAGTGATGACTCCCACCGCGAAGAACAGAATCAACGAGGACCTCATCCTCGATATTTAAAGCACAGTTAATTTTTCTTTTGTCCTGGGAAAATCTTGTCCTTTCGTTTCACAAGCTTTTATCACGTGATTCTTTATTTCTACCGTATTTCTAATCTTACTTGTCGTTTTTTGTCTGACACGATCACTTCAGAAGTGAAGCAATTGGGATTGCAACAAATGAAATAAATATTTCGTTCGATTGAAATGAAGATGGCCACTTCTGTCGATTATTTTGGAAGGGTATTTAAGGAATATATTTAGGATTGTCGTTAGAGGCGCTCGCAAGCGCTCGAAAGGATCTAAGGTCGACGATACCAGCTGAAGATGATCGTATTTCCGAGGGTTAGAGTCGATGGCCTTCAAGGACGCGGACCTTGAAGGTGTAGGTACCGTTCACGGACTGGCTGAGGCCCGCCACTCGTTGGGCCTTATATTGCTACCACCACTACAATCCTTTCTGGTCCCCTCTTTCTCTAGCGTCGCACACGTTTTCTGCTTGCCTGTCGACTCTTATCCAGGTACGTACGAATAGCTTGGTTGATCCTTCTGCCTTCACGATGGCCAAGAGTTATTACAACTATCTATCGCTTAAATATTTGCATTTTCATTATAAATCTATCAATTATCCGAATTTTCGCCATAAAGTTATTTCTAAAACATTGCATGATCAAGCATCGAATTATCAACTCGTTATTTGAATTGCCTGTTAACTCTTGAACTTCAAGGTTCGAGGTTTCGAGTCACCTGACGCGTGCTCGTTCATCGATCACGTTGAGTATCCTGGCCGCGAAACAAGCAAGAAAGAGTCCATGTGACTGGGGGAGAGAAAGAGATTAACGACGTTTATAAATTATGTAATTTTGATGTGGCACGTTCGTTGATCGAGTTACATCTTCTTGACGTAATGAGGATACCTAGGCTTATTTCGATGCTGAGCTTCTCTTTTTTTTAAATGTCAAAGTTAAAGAGGAAGAGGTGTTATTCCCATCTGGCAGTTTCGGACGAAGTAAACGACGTTAGCATACGCAAAACACGATTATTGCACCATCTTGTATGTCCCGCTGAGTCTTGTCAGAGAAGAGAGAAAAAGAAAAAGAGAAGTGAACGCCAGACTCTTGTGAATCTTCCAGCTACTTTGCCAGAACAACATTAACTCAGGATTGGTGTAACCTTATTTAAGTATTTTGTCTATCATTACAGATTTATTAAAGACTCGTGTTTCATATTATTTCAGATCATTCGAAAGTTTTGTAATCATGTTTGTATGAAAGAATACCAAACCCTGATTGTGTTTTTTAATTTATTTCAAAAATTGATTAGATGATTTGACTAGAATCCATTGAGAAACTCGTCCGTTGGAATTTACCCTTTGCCAGCTATCGGCAACGACTATGACTCGTGACTATGTCTGACATATTAGTCGTGTATTCCGAATACATAGTTCATGTATTCTACTAGTAAATCGTATTGAACGCCCGTTGAACACCCAGGGAAACGTTATTTTTGCATTGACGATCAACAGTTGTATTCCATTGGGTCGCTCTCTTTTATCAAGATCAAAGATTTATTTGTTATGTTGGACAGGTAATAAATTTGAATCTTCACAGTGGAGTTGGGTTACTTCCTTATAACGCAATCGATATTTTATTTGATTTTTTATTTATTTTCTTTTTTTTTTTTTTTTTTTTTTATTGAAATGATGCAGTTATTGTGTTTTTGAAAGAAATTGATCAAAATTTATAGGGAATAAAATTGATGAAAAATATAATTTTGTTTTCTAATTAGATTAAAGGAAACAAAATGAACATTTTAGAGAATATTTAGCAAGGAATAAGAATGAATAATAATCTTTGGTAGAAATTGTGCGGCCCTGCAGTGACATATGCCTCGCCAGTGAAAGGAAAAGAAGAAGAGGCAGTAGTAGCGGTAATATCAACGAAAGAGGAATGGCAATGGCGCCGTGCGCGTGCGAAGTCTCACAGAAGAGAAGCTTTCCCTGCCCGCGGCCAACAACAGCTCTCACGAGAAAATAAAATTTATCGATCGCGACCAATCGTGTACACTAGGCTCCATCTGTTGCCGATTTAGTGATCACTGTGGTCATTAAACGTTAATTATCACGATCCTATCATTAAACAATCGAACTTTTGTTCCAACGAGCTACGCCATTTGTAAATATTTTTATTTAAATTTATTATTGATCGAAATATGTGTAAATCGTTTCTTTCCTTTTTTTTTCTTTTTTTTTTTTTAAATCGAAAATATCCAATGTATAAAATTAATTCGTTCTGCTTTAAGTTTTGATTAATTAGTACGGAACAAATGAACTTACATTTTCACATGCCTCACGGGCAATTAAATTTGACGGTTATAATAACCGTCGATAAAATCTTTCCCGCGGGAAATTTTGAATAATTTGTTTGTGAACTATTTTATCCTGTTAGGTCGATACAAACCTTTATTTTACTTATAACTGCTGCCCTCTATCAACGAATTTCGCACCATCCTGCTTTCTTTTTCAGGTTTTTTCTTTTTGTTTGTTTTTTTGTTTTTTTTTTTAATTTTCTCTCCCGTCGATTAATCTCCAGTTTATTTCTTTTATTCTCCATCGATATTTTTTTGTCTCTAACAAAGAGGATTATAAAAGCTTAGCAGGATTTTTTTGGATCGGTATGAGTTACGAGAGAACCGTGTTAATCGTTTGTTGATATGACCGTGAATATTATTATTTTCTTCTAAAAACATCTAGATATAAAAAGGAAATTCTTAAACACGTGTTGCACGCCATCATGAAAGCTCTTCTTCCGAGTATGCATCTGTTGCATCTGCGGAGACGCAAGCACGTTGTCCTTGATAAGTTCGCGGTCTGAAATCGATATTTTAACTTACATCATATTTGATGTTTTATAAATCCAAGGCATATCAAAAACATCGATTATCCTTCATAGATTCTTTTTTTATTTTTTTTTTTAATCTTTTTAATCTTTTAAGATATATTAAATATCTCTTGAAGACGATGCAATACATAGATCTATATATATATATATATATATATGTGTGTTTATATGTACGCGATTCCATTTCAAATGAGCAAATATCTTCCAGTACGAAATTATTAAAAGATCGTAACAATTTACGTTTATTTCTCGAACGTAACAGTAACTATCAGATAAAAGTGTAAAATCCAATAACGATTGAAAGTACGATGTAATGCTACGATACAATTGAACAAGCCTGAAGAAATATCTCGAGTTTTGATAAAATCACGATAAAACAGACTCGATGATAATAGCGACTATTGCTTCGAACGTTTATCGAACATCTACGTTCCATTAACGATCTTTCTCTATTCTCAAATCAATTAATTTAAATGTATCTACACGATTTTTACTTTTCCCCTTTCCTAAAGTCCTAAAGACCGATAAAAGCTCCAGTATTATTTATTTCTAATACCAAACTTTTATCAACCAATATTACATATACCTCTATATGCCTTTATATATATATATAATATTAAAATTTATAATAATAAAATATATTAAAATATTATATGTATATATAATTTTATATTATATATAANTATATATAAAATATAAAAATTATATAATATAATTATAATACAATAAATAATAAAATTTATAATATAATATATATACACATATATATACTACATTTATAAATAGATTATATATAAATATATATTATAAAATACCAGTTTATAATATAATGTATCATATATTTGCATAATATATTTAATATATATATAAATATATATATATATATTTTTCTTAAATTGTGTCCAAGGGTAGTGTTGGTCTCGTCATTTTTGTTCTCAAGGATCATCTACGCATCCTTCCTTGAAATTCAATTTATAACATATAGTACAAATTGGCCTCGAAAAAATTGACGACATTTTAATCAAGTAATATCACATTAGCTATTCTAAACTCAGACTTCTCGTATTATCATCGTACGTCGTTATTATTAGTACGTTTAATTATTAATGTTCAACAAAGGCAGTGTAAGATAAAATTAATCGTAGGTATGAATGGTTCGTAGTATGATGGAAGGCATGTCAATATCTGTATGCTTTAAATATTTGAAAATTTCTGAAAAGAATTTTTATTCATTTTTTTTTCTTTTTTTTTTTTTTCATTCTTCCTGATTATCTAAGCAATTATTTCTAATCCTGGTGAATTGGATTTCTATAAATATGAATAATAAAATGGATGACACTTAAAGGGTTAGTTTGATAAAACAATTACAAAGTTGGAAGAAAATTCAATTGGTTGTTAGATCCTTCGTAAAAGTGTTCCTTTTCAAAATGTAAATGTGTAATGGGGAAATTGAGAAAGAGGGTAACAAAAATATGATGACGTGAAGGGTTAGAATAGGATAATTTTCAGATTGACGTAAAGCTGAGATCGAACAAGGATACATTTCGATAATGTCCAGCCGGGTTGCTCGGCTGACTATATACGTTTATTACTACTGACACGATGTTGATACGTCAAAAGTGAAGCCTGCAGTAAGGCGCAGAGAATATATTATTAACAACAGCGAGATAGGATAGGCTGTTAAAATAAAAATGGATGTTTTACCGGTAAACAAAATTGCATGACGATAAAAAAAAAAGAAGAAAAATAAATGAAATTCAAAAACATTAATGTTATTCATAATAAAATAGTATAAAGTATCCCTAGTAGTACAAAATATTGAATACATGTGTATTTAATATTAAAAAGAGATTTAATGTTTTTTAAATATTAAATACACATGTATTCGATATTTTTCAATATTTCGTGCTACTAGGGGCTGCTGTAATAGTAGATAAAAATATTGAATATATCAAAGATAATTTAAAGACAAGTATTTAAGGGTAAGGATCAAATGAATTATTGAGAAAATTATATTTATAAGTATCTTATTAATTAAACAATTAAACGAGCCATCAGTTGTCAAGGAAAGGAAGAGAGGAAAACGTGTCTGGGGTAGAGGTATATCGATTAGAGTAAGGGGTTGGGGTGTGTATAGAGCGAGAGTGAGAGAAATGGAGGGAAGAGGAAGAGAGGTGGAACGAAGATCGTCCTGCACGAGGCTCTGATGGCCAAATGGGGCTCAGGGCCGTATCGGCAGGCTGCTACACCCTTTCTCTCCTGCCTCTACTATTCGACCTTGACCTAGGGAGTTCCTCTCGCGCCGGCGTCACGCCCTCTCGGCTCCTCCCCTCTTTCCCTTTTTCTTCTCTTCTTTCTTCTTTTTCTTCTTTTTTTTTTTTTGTATTTCTCAAGCATTTGAATAGTCAACTTCATAAATCTCATCGACTAGATTTGCCATTCTACTTTAAAACGATTTTCTTCATCTATTCTCGAGCTTCGTTGTCACACCTTCTTCCCTTCCGCTTTCGGATTCTCCAGTTTTCCCTCTTCACCCCCCGGCGTTTTGACTAAAACGGGTGAAAACAGGTTCGACCTCGACACACGCCGGTGCCTCGAACGCGCGCACACGTCGTCGTCTACGCGTTTTCCTCCTCCTCCTTCTCCTTTTTTGCATACTCATCCTCTTCTACCACCACCACTACTCTACTACTACTACTACTACTACTACTACTACTACTACTAATATTACCAGCACCACCGACCAAGTCGAGACCGACCGGATTTGGTTGCAGTCGCTCTTCGAGCCGTGAGCAGGGCCGATATCTGCTCTAACTTACCTGGACATACTCTAGTTTTGACATTTGACTATTGCTGTTTGGGTTCCGTCCAAAGGCATCCTTGCTGGAACGTGCCAATGTCGTCTGCTACCATGCGACTGGCGGAAGCATGCAGGTGGGTCATCTTCTTGCTTCCTCCAACTTATTCTTATCTTCATCGAAGTGCTGGATTCACTCGTTTGTTTACCGCTCGAGTTAAAGGTAATCTTTTTCTCATCGATTTGCAAAAAAACCACTTCAGGATATTTTCGTGTACATTTGTATTCATCCAATCATTTAAATACAATGACAATGATCTTTCCTCATCAATGAAAACTTGTACATTTTAATGACGCAATTGTACTTTCATTACTTTATTGATATTCTTGCGAGTTCTTACATGTAGATTGATTCTGCCGATATAATGGTCATCTCGATTTGTAAACAGAAGGATCTCTCATCGGATTTGAAAGTTGTTTGTTTATTCCGTTAACACAATAGGCAAAGTAGCAATGCATTGTTCTTTCTTTTCTTACATTCCTCTCCCAAGTCCCAAGGACAGATGATATATTTCAGTAATACTACATTAAGTATAAATACACTTTGTTTACATGTGATCATGATGATCATCATCATCAAATATTGAAATAAGATATTTATAGAAATCCATGTGCACATTCTATTGAATAACAATTTTGAAAATATAAACTTTTGTTCTTTTTATAGTGTATTACATGGTATTATAGAAACTAGATATAAACTTTGTAAGAAGTAAACATACACACATACATACACACGTGTGTAAAATAAGATTTTGTTATCTAAGTATTTTATAACACGATGAATAGATAGTAGTAGTTTTATTTTTTTTCAAATGAACTTTATCGAATACAAATTTGCAGTTATTTTTTGTCAATTAAGTAAAATAAAGAAGGAACATTTTGTTAATAATATATATATATATATATTTGTATTTGTACGGTAAAAAGGCACTGTGCCAGAGAACCGATTCGCGTCTTTTTCTTCCCCTCATCGACCGGCCTGTGCCAAGGCCAAGCAAGAAGGTGAGATTCTTCTGTCACGGTCACGAACACCCTGCTAACTCTACGACCTACTGTTACGCTAATGTCGATTGTACACATTTTAATTTTTTTTTTTTTTTTTTCGTGGATAATAATCATCCAAATTTACATTTGCTAAATATTCACGTTATAATTCAAAATAAAAATGGGGGAAGAAAAACAATTGATCAATATTCGAGTTTCATTATCATTATCATATTATTATTTTATATTTGGAATTTTTCTTTTCTTTTTATTATATATAGCTTTATTTAAATGTCACATCAACCATCGGAGATTATTAGCGACATAAGAGAGAATTATACATTAATATGTATTTGTTTAAGATATATTAGTAGATTTATTATTAATTGTTTTGGAATTTAGGTTGTCTTCTTTAGTGTCGGAATTTTCTATTGCGAACAAGAACAACAACAACAACAACAATTATGTTCACACTTTACTAAATACCTACGTGGATATTGATTTCAGGTATATCCATTTCTTATTTCATCCGTTTTGCTTCCTCTTTTTTTTTTTTTTTTTTTTATCAGACGAAAAAAAAAATCAATTGCAATAATAAACTATTTTTTTTTTTTTTTTTTTTGTATAAGATCAGAGTCGACCTTTCCGTGTTCGTTGCATTAAAAGCAGTGAACCATTAAAAGTTTCAGTGTTGGCTCGTCGTCGTTGCTTATCATCGCGTTTCACCGTGAAATCGCAATTAATTTTTCCTTGTATCGAATACTGTGCGTTGTTATTATTATTATTATTATTATTATTATTATTATTATTATTATTAGCATGTATTATTATCCTCGTATGAAATTAATAATGCAAGCGTGACGTCTAATCGTGACGTTCGTGTGAGAAAAGGTTAACAACGAGATTTCGAGAGATACCTACTCAATAAGATAATATCATTTTTGTACGATATCATTTTAGATTAAATACTCACAAGTTTTAATCTATTGGGTTATATAGTGTATATTATTATTATTATTATTATTATTATTTGCTTGTTCGTCAAATTATCTTTGTGAATCAAGTTTAGAACAAAATATAACAAAATAAAATATATGCGTTGATTTTTTACACGTGAAACTCGTATTATAATATGGAAAATAATCAAATGATTTATTCATTTATATATATATATATATAGTGTGTGTGTGTGTGTGTCTCTCTCTTATAATCATACATTTTTATGTTTACTAGATTTTTGCTTGGAAACTATTGATATTATCTATTTACGATATTGGAATAAATACATTAGTATATACCATACATATTTCATGAATTTAACTTGAAAGCTTTATTAATAATAAATGAATTTAAAAAAATATATGAAAATTATGTACAGGAAATGTCTGTACCTTAATAACGTACGTACTTGTTCATTCTTTGGTTTTATTATTATTATTATTGCAATTTTTTGCTTATCAGAATTAGTATATCCATTAAAGTCTGGAAACTGAATTTTTGCTTGAAATTTTATTTCATTTGTTATTTTTTATCAGTTGACAATTCGAAGGAAAAGTTAACATTTCTTTGATCGAATTGAATGAACTTTTATATTATTATAGATATGGTTTCTATATTTATTATATGATGTTCAGATTTTTATTACCATTTTTATCGAATCTCTTTTTTTGTTTTACTTTTATTCGTACGTTTACGTTCGAAGAAGATAGAAGAGGGAGATTAGAATTTAGAATACCTGTACATATTGAAGGTCATGATGAAATTTCTTGCTGATGAGAGATAAGCCGATCAGGAGTTGATGAATCCTCTTATTGATGAGAGATGAATTAATTATCAATTGAATGTCTATTAATATCTACATAAATATTTCCTTACCTTTGAATATATTATTATTATTATTATTATTATTATTATTATTATTATTATTTTGTAATACTTGATTTTTTAACAAAAAAAAACATTTTTTTAAATTACTGCATGTCCAAATAATATTATTTATATAATACACAATATTATATAATAATAAAACACTTTTGCATTTCATTTGTATATATTTCAAATATAAATAATATTTTCATTCTTTTTCATATTTCATAATATGACGACGCGTGAATATATCATTTAAATAATAACTTTAATTAAAATAGTTGTATTGCTGTATTGTAAGGTCGACATTTAACAGGCTAGGAATAAAAACGTAGAAAGTTACTTTACTCATTGTTCTGGCTTTCAAAATGTGGCCCTTTAAAAATGAAATGGAGTGCCCAAGTGAAAATGGATAGAGTACAGTTTAATTTACGTTGATCCTGTCTATTAGGTGCACTAGTGCAAGTGTTTACTATCTCGATAGTCTAACAGGTACTGAACAAAAGCTAGTTAGATGATTAAACAAATAATTGTAATAATAATATTGCAAAAATAAGATAAATAAATAAAGATTTATGTTAATTCTCGCGGAACAAAAGGCAACTTGCATCGGCGTAAAAAACTTTCACGAAATAATGAGAAAAGTTGGGACAAACGTATTGCTTTATTTAACAGAAGAAAACTGTATAATTAAACCGTGACTCGAGGATAGAACAAAGGAGAGGAAAAAGATACGAAAATATGTACACCGTGAAGTACCTTTTCGCACCCTTGAGAGTTCTCTTTTATCGTAGACTAAAGAACACATAGATAAACGTGAACAGGGCTACTCGAAGTCCTGGTTACAGGTTGAAGCTAGGACGCCTGGACCTTCCTCAAGGGAACTGTACTTGGATGATGGGCATACCTTAGGGCTATGCTATGTAAATGGTTACCTAAGTGGGAAACCAACATGTCAAAGAGGCTCACACGCGGCCGTAATCTCTGAATAAACAGAAAACTATACTCACAATACACAAATTACCTTTCAAAAAATGTAATTAAGCCGAATAGTCACCTGTGCACACTTATTTCGTGCGTATATGTTACGGTCAACTCATTACTGCCCGGGCAATGTATATAATGTTTAAAATAGAGTAGGACAATTGAAAATGTTATAAATTTTCATTTACATTTTAGAAAGGGGAAATAATGGCATCCACTTTAAAGCGTCTTTTTATAACTAACAAATGAAATTACATTTGAATACAATTTAAAAATACGATAATATAATATAAAATATTCTAATCACACATCTTATATTATTTTGCTATCGTTTAGCAGAAGCCACTGAGAGAACTCGGCCGATTGTGCCTTGGTACAGAACAACAAAGTAACGTTGTGACAGCTGAAGTATGCACCGAGACACGAGGTGGACTTCCACTATTGCAAGTATGGCCAAGCGATTCACCGAGATACGAGGCGGATAGCCAGGAACAAGCATTTGTTTTCCCAGATGCTCAAGAAAACGTTAACGATAGTGGAATCGAATCCATCCAGGTATATTCATACTAAATATAACATATTTTTTACTAATAATCCTTTATTATTACATTTTATTTTTATATGCTGGTAAAATTAATTTTTGTTTTTAACGTATTTAATTAAATTTATTATTTGTATTAATTTCGTGATGAATAATTTTAAATTTTTCAATCAAATAAGAACGTTTGTAAATAAGAGAAACTTGACACGTTCTATAATACAAATGCATTATATTTTGTATTATATTATATTTTCCATAAAAGTGATATAACATATTGTAGAAAGATAGTAAGTATAAAAAAAAAAAAAACATGTGTACATATTACACAAGTTAGAAGTGTCCTTCACCTTCAAATAAATAATTTTTGAAGATATCATTTATTATATAATATTATTATAATATTATTTCTACTTTTAATTTGTAGTTATTTATTTAATTATTAATTTAATTGTAAAAATTCGCGCCTGTTCGTATGCAACCCTCCAGACACACTTTGAAAATGTTACTTGCGAGCGTCATCTACTGGGACGGAATTTTTTTGCAGTCAAAACTGTTTATACAAGTATGTATGACGGGTTGTCTATCTTTCGGGCAGAAAAAAATTTCGATCCGACAGATGGCGCTCGCAAGCAACATTTTCAAAATGTGTCTGGAGGGTTGCATTAATACAGGCGCACATTTTTATAATAATTACAAAGAAAGTAAATGATAAAACACTTTAAAAAATGTTTGCAAATCAATTCAGTTCAAAAAGCAAACAAATTCGACCGAGAGAAATTCGATTTGACGATAACGAGTCTGAGCCGTTACGCGTTATACTTTCGACGATTCGTAACAACTGTTGTAACGAAATGGCATATAGAAGAATGTTAGTAAAAGTTTTCTTGAAAGCGATGGGTCATTGACTTCTAGGGTGCAATATGCAATCCTACAAATTTATAAAGTTTCATAAAAATCGTAGTGGGAGAGTTGATAAAAATTTCTTATTAATCTAATATCATAATTATCAGCACATATATTTTGATAAAGTGAACAATGTAATTTTCTAATGTAACGTAACGTATTCATTTATGAAGGCATCTCCGTCACCGTGTAAAGCAGCTTGCAACAGTCCAGCAACGACACCACAACAATCTCGTCGTGCTAGTCTCTTGCATCCAGATCACGCGAGGTTGCACCTGCAACATTTACATCATAATCACCATAACTTAGGATCAAAGAGTCCTCCGACTCAAGAGAGAACTTCGATCGACGAAGACCCACCCTCGGTACCACCGAGCCCTTCCAGTACGACGACGAGTAGTCTCCGATCGATGCCGAGTTCAGCGATCGCATCGATGCATTCTCAAGACAGACGGCGTAGTAGCAGGTAAATCTGCATCAAGAATTATACGTGATCAGACCAATTATTCTTATCTCCCTTGCATTTTCACGTGATAAGGTCTCTTGAGAATCAACAGGTCTTAGCTAGCACTAGCTCTCTCTATCTCTCTCTCTACCCTCTCTTTGCCTTTCTCACTCTGTCTTTCTCATACCAAGATCTTGCATGTTAACACTCGAGAAAATGCAATCTTCCAAAACAATTACGTTATTAAATAACCACCACTTCCAATTGACGTTATTCGAAAAATTCAAAAACATGCGGTCAAACTGAAAAAGTTTTTCTTGTTTTTTTTTTTTTCCCCATTTTTCGATAAGAAAATAAGAAAAGGAGTACAAGGTGTTAGTAATTAAAGTTTATCAGTAATTTAGATTACCAAGTGAAAGTCACGTTCTAATTTCGCATCGATTTACTCGTTCGATATGGATTCAAATTTTTTTAATCGGGCATTATAGTATATATATATATATATATATTCGTATCGTTGACAGAGAACGAGTATGTGATAAGAATCTCGCATGAGTACGATGATAACGTCCCGCGACATACTACCTTGATTCTCTCTTAGGAATCTAATATTATAAGTTTTGAGATATTCCATAGTCTCAGAAATAATCCTTCGAATGATATCTCGACGACGAGTGGTACGTTTTCGATCTTGACGACCGTGTCAAGGGGCGACCCTGGCACAATGTAAATATACCTATATATATATATATATCAATCTTCGTATATTGCAAGCTTCGCGCAATGAAAATTCTCATTATGACGTATGTAATCTCTTGTCCAGTATCGCGTTCATTCTAAAAATACTATTTTTTTTTCTTTGAATAAGAACATTACAAGAAATACATACATATATATATATGATAAATTTCTTTGTCATCTTTAATTATGACAACAAAGATCTTCTCTCTTTCCTGAAATATTTCCGATTTTTATTATAGAACTTCCCAATGAGATACCTCAGGCCATTTTTTGAACAATAGACGAAAGAGACAGAAAGATATATATATATATATATATAAAACAAATTGACTGACTGAGTATCGTAGATTAAAACTTGTATTTGTTGGTGATTATGATACACTGAAATATATAAAACTGTTGAAGTTTTTAACGAAAGTACTTGACAATTGTATAAGAGTGATAGTAGCGGTTGTTAGATAGAAGTTCTTAACCAAAGTTGTCGCCTCCAAGTGTTTTGGCAAAGACCCAGTTTTCTTTTTGTATTCTTCATGTTGATAGTACCAAGCTTACTAATGAAGCCTTCGACGTTAATTACATTCATTGCTTTTATAAACTCCAAGATACGAAATATTGTCTTTTCTCTACAAATTCAACAACGTATATCGATTCGATATTTGACCTTTCCTTATCATGTTTCTAATCACGACCATCATCATTCTTCATTTCTTCCTCGTTTACTTGATTTATATTACGGTATATCTAGATAACAATTTTTCATAAATAATCTTTTGATTTTCTATTTACAGATATAGCATGTTCGATGCTGTGGATTTGGAGTATGCTCTTTTGAGAGCTGCTGCTAGGGGTTCAGTAGGACCCTACTCCCTTTCAGAATCCCTTCATAAATTGACGTTCACACAAAGTCTTGCTTTTCCTAACTTGGCACGTGGCTTAGCTTCAAAACAAAGCGTACCCACGAGAAGACCTCAACAACATGCAGAAAGTGGACTAAACGTCTTCGCTAAGGTTGTTACTGCACTTGTACTAATGCTGGTCAGCGTGTTGGTGTTCGGTGTTGTCTACAAATTTGCCAGAACGTGAGGATGGCTATTGGTACCCGATCGACATCCTGGTTCCACTCAGGATTTTAATCGGCCGGGTGCCAACGAGCCTTACGACGGTAATGCCTGATCAATTTCTATGTCAAAAGTCTGCCAAAAATTGTCGTTTCTTTCACTAATATTCCCTAGTAACAAAAGATATTGAGAATACATGTGTATTTAATATTTAAAAAGAGATATTCAATGTACTTGTTAATGTCTTTTTAATATTAAATACAATATTTTGTTCTACTAGGAGTTCTTTTTTTTTTTTTAACAAACTTTAACTTTACTTTGTCATAAAGATTCGAGGTAGAACAAAATTGGCGAACTTTTGACATAATAATTCAGGCATTTAATCGTATCCAGAAGGCCTTTTTAGGAAATCAAATTGATCGGTATGACCGATTTATCAATCTTTCGTGCAAAACAAAATAACAAATTCTAGTCGATTATAGATAAGATTAGAGGATTAATATCATTCGTGAACAAAATTCAAGGGTATATTCTCTTGGAATTGTGTCGAATGTGTATGACAAATAATAATCAAGAAAGATTTCACAGGATCCTTGAATGAAAATGATTCGTGTCCTTAGTCAAGGACGATGCGTATGCTCTAGTTTTTTTTTTCTCTGTTTTTTTTTTTTTTTTTTTTTTCTTCTTTTTCATCGATTCGATACCAGGTTCTGGTAATTACAAGTCCTTCCCTTTCTTGGTTAGTGAATTTTTGTATATATATATATATAACAAATTGAGTAACATTAACATTTGGAATTTATGATGATTATGATGATAATGATAAAATGATTATTTAAACATAAAAACGATCAAATGACAATTAAATAATCTTCGTTGCTTATTTGCAGTGCCTTGTTCGTGCATGTTCGCATCGAGATTAAGAATATGCACGCGTAACAAGCATTAATATTATTATCACAATGAGATATAATTCCAAAGGAAATAAAATAACAAGAAACAAGAAATAAAATAACAAAAAGAAGAAGAAGAAGAAGAAGAAGAGAAAAGAAAAAAATGTAAAAAAAAAAAATAATAAAAATTCTTCAAGTGCTTTATAGTTTATACGATTACTTCTCGATGACAATCGCACGAAATGCGTTAAAAAAAAAAAAAATACGTTTTTCGTCATGGAAATTCTAAAACAAAAAAAAAAAAAAATATTATACGTCGATTTACGGATAAAATGTCAAAAGGCCGATTATGATCTTGCACGTTTTTAAATAAAATACAATTTTCTTTTTACTTTCTATAAAATTATTTTTCAACGATGACAAATATATTATCGTAATATGAAATGAAGAAAAATTCAATTGATCAACGATAATCATTGATAATAATTAATATCATAAAATTAATCTAATATATATATATATATGTATCATATAAAAGTGATTATTAATTTCTTTTATAAAATATCAAACTTAATCGGCGCAGCAAATTTATTATTGAGATACGAAATGGTATATGATGATATGCTATATGTACATATAATGATAATATACTATCATGAACGTACAGGGTGATACGAAAGTATGTAGGTATTTTTAAGAGGAAACAAAATTTAAAAAAAAAAAACAATAAAACAATGGACAAAAATGTAACGATAAGTTTTAACAAGCGATCTGATCAATCATTGATATATCATTATTTACACATGTTACAAGTGTAAAAAAAAAAAACACAAGAAATTCTACAATCGATTATAAGTAAAAACATTAATTGAACTCTCATAAAATGAGAGAATAATAATAATAATAAAAGAGATAAATGTACTCTGAAGAATAATATACTGTCTTATATATATATTTATCTCTCGCTTGTGATAAATTAGCATTGTATTTAAATCTCGAAATAAATTTGATCGTAGATTATTGGAATGTATTTTGACAAAAAGAAAAAAAAACAAAACAAATAATCACGAAGAAGAAAGATTACGGTATTATCAGAAAAGAAATTGCAATTTCGAGTACAATTCTTATAGAATCGATACATATGTTATATCTTGTACATATAAGTATGATATCATTATTATACAAAGATGTGTCATAATTAATAAATATTTAACTTGACACATACTCACACAATCAATGCTTTGTACAAAGCAACGAAACTTTCAAATTGAATGAAAATTGTCAGTAAAATCTCTCTTCTCTTTCTCTCTCTCTCTCTCTCGATAGCGTCGCACTTTCTTGTTATAATCCTTTGCACTCCATATTGTCGGCATTGCGGCGACACGGTACGCCGATATCTAAAAGCAATATTACCTAATAGTAGAAAAATATTGAAAAATATTCAATGCGTGTGTGTATTTAATATTAAAAAGACATTATAATTCTTTTTTATATTAAATTAAAATGAACCTTTTAGGCACGGTTGAATTTTGCTCGGAGCTGTTTCTCTGTATGGCAGGGTTCAACAGACAATGTCGTTCTCTATGCGAGTACATTAAAATCAAATATTTAATAATTAAATTATAATATTTCTTTAAAATATATTTCATATACTTTAACTTGAACAATTGACTTTAATAATTAATCATACAATTAAGTATGATATATTTTAAAAAATGTCATCCGCGAAAGCCATTATAGTGACGTGTCCTACTGGAAGATGGCATCTGCGAAAGTCACTATAGTAGCGCGTAGTGCCTAAGAGGTTAAATAAAAAATTAAATAAATAGAAACATGGTATTCAATGTTTTTCAATATTTTGTGCTACTAGGGTTGTATCTTTAACGGGTAGGAAAATGTTTCGGCACACACTTATAGTGTGTGTAATTAATCTTGTGACATAACTTGTTGCATTTCTTTCGATCATATTATTTTGTTTGTAGTTTAAAACGCGTAAAAACGAAAGTTAAAAGTGGTGATGGTCAAAATGATCTTGGAGTTGTTCGAAACGACATATTTCAAATTGCAAAGGAGTGCAAAGGATTAATCTTGTCGGTTATTATCATTGTTATCATCGTGTGTGATAAATATAATATAATAATAGAAATATTCTCTTTTTTTTTTTTTTTAAACATGATTTTAATGTTAATTTTCATTTCTAACGTATTATTCAATACAATGTGAAGTAATTATTTAAAAATTCACTTTCTTCGTGTACTTTTTTTTTTTTAACATGATTTATATTTTTAATAAGCAATAATTCAATGGAAGGTGCATACGTTATCACGTCTTTGCAAAATTCGCTTGAAACTTATCAAATTCTATTTGCGAAAGCTCTTTGGTAAAAAAAAAAAAAAAAAGAAAAAAGAATGAAAGAATGAATTCAAATTTGAAAATCTTATGAATGAGGTTAACTTGAAAAACATTGAAATTCAATTTCATTGCATTAATATCCTGTCTGGTTTATAATCAATTACGTCGTTGTTGCAATGACGTTGACTCAATATATATATATATATATATATATACGTCATAAAAAAATAATAATACGTCATGAACAAATCTCGAGTAGACTTTGTTTCAAAAATTGTTATCCCTAACCATCCATATATTTTAGAGAAACGAAAAAACATATTTTTATTTCTTTATGAAATAAAAAGTCTAGGTCTTGAAATTTTGTTCTTTTTTTTTTTTTTTTTGCGATGATTTTTAGGCTTGTCAAATAATTGTCTTTTCTATTGGATACTTCAAATGAGTTGAACAAATTTTTATGAGCCAGGTGATTCAACTTATACGTAAGGTAAGTTTTATAATGATTTTACTTTTTTCAATCGAAGTATCATCACAAAAAATATCAAAGATTAATTGTTTTTTAAAAGCGTTGATAATTTTCTATTAATTCCATATTACGTATAATATATATATATATATATAATTATATAATAAATAAAATATAAATATTATTATATATAATATATATATTATATTTATATATTATTTATATATGTTTTGAAATATATCAACGATATCATTTTTATATTATAGAATAAAGAATTGTATTAAAAGATGAACATGAAATAATTGGAACATCAAAGAATATTGCTTTGAAAAAAAAAAAAAGAAAAAAAAATAATAATAATAATAAAATAAAATAAAGAAAAAAAGAAAAAGAGGTGATTAGCGTGCTCGTAGGTTGTATCGATAGTGTTTGTTTTTTTATTGTATGCCATTAAGACAACTTTTTTATTTCAATTAGATTTAGAGACGGGGTTGTTTCACGCCATTGATCTTCATAATCAATTTTCTGTGTACATATATCTTTGTGTCGTTGGTTTATGATGTGTGTTTAGTATGTGTGCTCATTTTTAGATTCTCCTTTCATCTCGACAATTGTTTAGAATATTAAATTATAATCATTTCGTAATAATATCGATCTTTCCTTCACATCTAAAGGTGCTAAGATATCTACAGTGATTTATTCATCATCATCATCATTATCATCATCATCATCATCGTACACGATAATACATACAATTTGTCTCGCTCATAGTTTTTTTTTTTTTTTTTTAGTTTCTCATTACACTATTCCTTTCAAAATTGAAAGAAATCATCTATTACTTTTATTATACTTTATATTCCGACCATAAACGATCTCCAATCGTCGTACCTATTATATCGATAAATCGATTATTTACACGAAATTCCATTTATTGCTACTTTACAGAAATCCCGCATAAAGCGTCTTTCACGCGCGTATATGTAATATGTTTTTCATGTGTATGTGTGTGTTGTGTGTTGTGTGTATGGATGTACGTATATGTATAATACTCGTCGTGTGTTATGTGTAGTGTGTAATATTTACTTGCTTCTTTCTTTGTATTTTTTTTTTTTTAAATTATCTTTTTTTCTTATTTTTTTCCTTTGTTTTTTCTTTTTCTTTTTCTTTTTCGTACAGACGCGTATATGTGCGCGATATAAGCGCATCATCTTGCACATATGTATGTATGCATGTAAATATGTCATCATCGACTGTTTACAAGAGAGCGATCAGTGAAAGGACGTGGAAGTAGTATGTGTAAGTGTAATATATGCATTTAATTATTCGTCAAAATTAATGAATTTTTTTTTTTTCCAAATAGGACCAATTCCATGAATTTTTTCTTTTTTCCTTTTTTTTCATTTTTTTCTTCCTTTCCCAGGTGTTTTTGTTGTTGTTGTTTTTGTTTCAATCATTTAAACAATATAATTTATTTAGAGATCATTTTTCATCGTCAGCGTATCTAAGTAGCAATAAAAGAGTCACGATTATTCTGAAAAGATAAAAAGAAAAAAAAACAAAAAAATAAAGTAGATTCATACAAATGAAGAATTTGAGTTATATTTCTATACCGTAGATACCGACATCTTTTTTATTTTTTTTTATTTTTTTTTAAATGCTTTTCTTTCCCTTTTTATCATCCTATATTTTTTCTTCTTCTTTTTTATTATTATATTTTTATTTTTATTTTTATTTTTATTTTTTTTTTGTAATTATTCGCTTCATTCGCGCTTAGGCCGTACTTTATCGTTCCTCTTTTTCTAAAAACTTTTTATTACCTGGTTTTATTCTTTTAATCACCCACCTCTACATGCACACTCTTTTTCTCTACTCACTCTTTAACCCCTCCTATTTATTCTCTCTCTCTCTCTCTCTCTCTCTATTTCTCTCTCTAACTTTCTTTCTTTCTTTTTCTTTTCTCTCTCTCTCTCTCTCTCTCTTTGTTGTTTCCATTTTTTTTCTTCTTAATATAATATACCCTATGCGTTACACGTACTCGTGTCATTTTGTGCTATGATAAACTCGATTATTCAGAAGTGTAAAAAAATAAATTACATCGGCTAGAGGAAGCTCGAGTTTACGATCTCTCTTTAAAAAATAATCAGATTATTTAATTTCTGAATTTTTTTCTTTTTCTTTTTCTTTTTCTTTTTTTTCTTCTTTCTTTGCGCGCGCGGTTTATTATTTTAATTATATTTACTTTAATCAGTAATTGTTTATATGACACGAACACGAATAATAAATTCTAATGATAGACTAGAATGAATTAAAAAGATAAAGAGAAACAGTAAAAGAGTGAGAAAGAATAAGAGAGAGAGAGTGTGTGTGAGAGAGAGAGAGAGAGAGAGAGAGAGAGAGAGAAGGAAAATACAGAAAAGAGAAAAAGAGAAAGGAACAAGTGTGAAATCATTTCTGTAGCTTCATTCTTCTCAGAACAATCGATGAAAGATCGACAAATGATCAATTTCTGATGATATTAGTGCCTCCAATTTTGTTACTGATAAATAATTGGATGAGTCGGCTCAACAGGAAGATCACTGTCAAGTTCAAGGGACACTCCATCTTTAGATACTAAATAGTGCGTGAGTAGTTGACCCTTTCCTTTGACAAAGACGAGGCCACGTTGTTCAAAACCAAATCCAAAAGGTTCCAAAATTATTCGAGTCTCGTCGGTAACCTAAAATTTCATTAATTGATACTTCATTTCCTATAATCGTTTTTTCTTTTACAATAAATTAAATATGTAATGTTTATGTTTACCTGAATACATCCAACTTTTCCGGTGCTTTCCATTCGCGAAGCAACGTTTACGGTGTTACCCCAAATATCGTAATGAGGTTTTCGAGCACCAATCACCCCAGCAGTTACTGGACCATGATTGATACCCATTTTTAGGACAAAATGATTAAAACTCTGTTCGTTGATTCCCGATAGAGCTTTTTTTAATTCTAAAGCAAATTCTACGAGAGTCGATAGGTGAGTCCACCTTGGATTATCCTCAGACTCTTGGGATTCAGTTATACCCGAGGCAGCCATGTAAGTTGAGCCTATTGTTTTGATCTTAATGATGTCTTTGAACTTGTTTTGATCCAATATCTAATGAAAATGAAAATACATGTAAAATATGATCGTTAAATCGTTAAGAGATTTATATTATTGACTTACAGCATCAAAATCGGAGATAACTTCGTTGAGGAACCTTAAACATTCGAGTCCTTGATTATTAATACTTTCCTCGCTGTAAAAATCGGCAAAGTTGGGCATACTTGCAAATAATACACCAACTTCGGCATAACTTTGACTGTAAAGATCATCGTGATGCCTTGCTCTTGAAAGAAAATAAATTGCTACGTGTGGTGGTAATATATTGTATATTAATGCGCCATTTCTTCGTTTCATATCGGCAGCTCTTTCTCTTTGAGCTGCTACCTCTCTGCCACGTAGATAAAGCATTCTTCTTGCTTTTTCGGCCTAATGACAAAAAAACATTTATTCAATTTATTTATTTCACACTCATTCCAATTACAATATTTTATTCAATTATTCAATTTCCATTCGATAATTGTCTTTTTTTCTTTTGTCGAACGAGAAAAATAAAAAAAAAATAAAAAAAAAAAAATAAAAAAAGGAAGAGAGAGATTTCACGTGACAATTTCGTGTCAATTAAAATCCCGAATAAAAGCTTTCACCAATCGTCGTATTAGCTACGATCCAATTTATCACTGAAGTTCTAGCAATTGGAAAATCGATTGAAGTTCCCGTGCCACTCAGAGGACAGAACGGAGCTAAGTAATCAACGCTTTCGATTATCCGAGAGAGATGGTAGTTCGTTCGATTTCAATCTAGATAGGTAATTACTTACGTATCTAGCTACGATGACCAAGGCAGTGGCGATGGTGATCAACGAAGCCGACAAGGTATATTTTAATGAATATGTGATCGGATCAGGTGGTAAAGTAGCCATTTCTTCCAATTCCAAAGAAGTTCCGAGAAATACTATATTAATAGTACACTGTGCACCGGCTAGAATGTACATCAGCAATGCCTTTCCAAGATAGCAGATGTAAGTTGGCATAGAAATTGCTACGAGGGCAAGCACACCGATATAAGAATAATAAGAAGGATAAGGACAACGCATCCAGTACGACATGTTTCCTTTTGGTTCAATTTCGTCGATGATAGCACAGTTACACTAAAAAAAAAAAAACAACAGCGTTTTTAACTTGCTTTACTATCAAAGTTAAATTGAAAAGAATATTGCAATACCATGTCGAGAAGTAGGAAATCGGTTAGAGAGAAGGTCATCAACAAAGCTAATGTTCTTCTCAACCACGTCGCTCTTACTGCACTCCCAAGACACGTGGCACCGGCTAGCACCACTCCAAAGAGTACAAGCACGCCTGCACCACCCCAAGTGAAAGGTCCCCATGGATGCAATCTCCATACCGGTGATGCACACATCATCACTAAAGGGCCACCGAGCAAAGACAAAGGTGAGAAGGCCTCTTTGGCACTGTGAAAGGCCTTTTCCACAATTGGATCTTTAAAACGCAACGTTAGCCACGATACGTGACCCTTCAGGTCGGCACCCCCACCTACGTTCAAATGATGTCATTCGATTATCGAAAACTCATCAATTAGTTTAATTAATCAATATAAACTTACCTTTGCTATCCATTTCCTTTCTCAATCTTTGCCTGAACTCTTCTGAGTCTTCTTTATTACTTCTCCTCTCTTGATTATTGTCCATTGTCCTTCGAGAAGTTTCGTCGTTCAACGATGCAAGACTTTTCGTTATCGCCGGTTTGAAAGGTTTTAATGCTCTTACTATAAAATAGGTGACGATTCCAGCCTTTTTAAGTGCCTCCTCTCTTTTCTCACCAAACGCCGGTTCAATTTCAAATTCATCATTGAGAAAGCTCAAAGTTACGTTGGAAACGTGTACTCTCCTTAAAATAAACGCACCCATATTGTCTTTCTAATTATAACAAATTCGTTACGTTCAATCACATATCCCCCTTGTGTTTCTATTTATAATTGACCCCGTTCTGAGAAAAATAATCAACGACCTCCGTAATTACGCACACACACAAAAAAAAAAAAAACCCAAATTGATCTGACTATTTTGGTTGTTTGTCTAGCGTTAGGAATCAAAGGGACGATTTGAAGAAAAAGTAAGGGCATAGGTACGTGTACGATTTTCATCCTTTTTTTCGTCGCGTCTCTTGTCTGTTTATCCTCACTTAAGGGCCTCTAAATAAATTAGGTTAAGAGGAACTCAAGCTCAAACGAATAGCTCCCTAGGTAGTACGTGCAGAGATTCAAGTACCCTAACTGCGCCGGTCACGTTTAATGATCCAAACCAGTATCGCGTATAAGTGTGGATAGACTTTATCTCCAAGTGTTTAACGTAATTACCATAATCATCGATCAAAATAGACAACAATAAAAAAATGAAATCTTACCCGGCTCTTCCGCTGCTTTCCATTTTATTAGCCAATTCAACGTCTTTACTGTAAACGTCGAATTGCCATTGTCGTTGACCAAGAACACCGGCCAGGACAGCACCTGTATGTATGCCAACTCTCATGTCAACTGGACTATTGGTTGTCTGCTGAACATATTTTATAGCCTCGACCATCGAAAGACCCATGTGAACGCAAAGTATTGCATGATCTGGTCTCTCGATAGGTGCACCACTTATGCAATAATAACAATCGCCAAGAATTTTGATGCGTAACTGTTCGTACCTGTAAATAAATACGATGACAAATCATAAAGAAGATTTAACGAGAACATTGATTAACATCCTGAAACATTTATCGATCGTTTGACGAGTTCTCGTCGTCGTCGTCGTCGTCGTAGTCGTAGTCGTAGTCGTTACCTCGTTATCGTTACCTCGAAGAATATTTCGAGAAAATACAGAGAAAAAAAGGTAGGCACTAATTTGCTCGGATATTGAAAAATACTCATTAAGAATTCCTGATCGATCCTTTCAGAAAAGGAAATGAGTTTCACGTTGTAGAACAAATGAGAGACAAGTTAAACACCTTTTTTTTTTAGGTAATACACTTGAATACTAATGAAGAATTTAAAACTAATGAAAGATTAGTTAATTGTATCGTTCTAGTTTATTAGGTTAGTTTAGATAGATTACTTAAATTGTCATGAAAAATAAGTAAGTACCGTTCGCTGAGTTGATCGAATCGTGCAAAAAGCTCGTTGAGTATCTTAACCAGTTCGCTAGCGCTGTAGGTAGATGATATTGCTGTGAAACCAACGATATCAGCGTAAAGTATCGAAACATTTTCGTGTCTCGACATGTAGATCTTCTTGAACTGCGTGTCCATGCATGCACCCAAATCCTGTCGCATTTTGACGGCCACATGTTCAGGCAAAACACTGAGAAGTAGCCTTTCCTGTTCGGCACTCTGTTCTTCGATTACCAACTGCACTTCCAGACTTTGTCTTGTCTCGAGAAAGGCTCGACGTTGCTGGAACTCCGCCAGGGAGTAGCTGGAAGCACCCAAAATAGCGACGCCGGCCGAGAGTGTCACCGTCAGGATCTATAGGATGTTTTCACGCTAAATTCTTACGATTGCAAGCTTTCAATCACGCGGGGATTAACCGATTAGCAAAAAGGGTAACCCTTCGATGCACGCTTTGTCGATGAGCTTTCTCATCCGGAAAGATACGAACCGCAAAATGTCGTGCACCGAAGGGTTAATATGTATAATAACGTTAATGAGAAGGCAAGTGTTTTTCTCGATATTTTTATTTTTTTTTTTAGCCTCACGAGAGAGTATCGAAGATCGTGTCGACATATTTTCCATAGGGGGAAAAAAAAAAAAAAAAAGAAAGAAGCTTTCACGTGTAGGATCGAAAAACGATTTGTAAGAGTTAGTAAACATTGACACGTTTAACGGGCTGGTTTAATCAGCGTTCCATTCTTTCCAACGGTCCAGAATCTCGTCAATGAAGACTACTAGTCGTTCTCATTGAAAAACGATCGGATGTCGTGCATGGAAAGGCGACGGTGCCGCATCGTTGCACGATGTCACGTATATGTCCGTCTCTGTCCCGCGCGCGAGCTCTATCTCTCTATTTTAAACTACCATTGACCGAACTCTACTCGAGTGTCACTAACGACAACACCACATGTGCACACGTGTATATGCCGAAGCTTTCGCTTTCGTGTCCACGAACAACAAGTTTGTAACTTTAAGAGTCGATCCTTCTTTGATGCACCTATGTCCATCCGTCGGACGTACAAATTTTTAGGGTAAACGAACGCGATGACTATCATATGCTATTACATCTTGATCTGATTTCGTTGCATGAAATATGATTGGAAGAACGTTCAAAAGAACGTTCTCTAATTTTGTCTCAATCATTTTTCTATCTTTTGACTGAACTCTTTTGCTCGACGTGAGTTAAAGTTTCATTATCGTCCTTGAAATAATTTGTAAAACTTTTCTTTTTCTTTTTTTTTCTTTTTTTTTCTTTTTTTTTTCCACAGAATAAACTCTCTGTAAGATAATAACATTTTTATTTCTCCATCGTCGAACTTTACGCGTAGCTCCCTACTCGCGATTAGATCGATGAACGAAGTACAATCACGTATAAATTAGTTCGAGTAAAAGCACCGATCAGAGTAGCACGTAAACAAAGCAAGCGTTTATTCGAGCTAGCTCATAAACGTGATCTTCCCAAATATTTTCATACAAGGGGCGTTATCAAAGAGGACAAGAGATCGATCGAAAGATAAGACGTTAATCTAGTTTAGGAGGGCGAGAAATTAGCAAAGTCAAAGCAGCAACAGTTGTTTTACACACGCACGTCATAGCTCTGTTTACTTTGTCACTATCTTCGTTTGAATTGTTCATAAATATAATAAAATAATTGAGTATCTCTGAATGTGCAATTAATAAGGGACCTACCAGAACGTCGATGGCCGATAGGATCGGCACTTTGGAGAGTCTAAAAACGGTGACCATATAAGCTGCAGCCGTAGCAATCGCTAATAAGAAGCAGAAGGATAATCTAAGGGGTAGAGTAGCGAATAGGAGATAAAGGAAGAGCAGGAGCCATCCTAGTCCATCCCTGGGCGTGACCTCGCTCGATTTGAGAAACAGCTGAGCGAGCAACTGTCCCGTAGAAAGCCACCATGCCACGTGGGGAACGGCGGCCCACAAGCCGTCTCTGGCCCGTGTTCCGTGTTCCGCCCATGCCAATAAGCCCAGGTTCAGACCGATGAAGACAGCGGTGAGCCCTCGAGCTGGTAGTTCCGGTTCAGGCGAGGCTACCGTATAAGTCCCGTAAAGGACAGCTGATAAGAGGAAGCACTGAAGGCCACCGCGTCTTTGTTGAAGGGAAGAGGCACGATAAAGTCGTTCAAGTTTAACGTTACTGAAGCTGGTTCTTAACAAATTCGACGGCCTGCCGGAGTTCAGGTAAGACTCCTCGTTCGTAGTCTCCAATCTCTGGGACATGGCGCCGAGAATCGTATAAGTTATCACACGCACCGCATTTTTTTCTTTTTTTTTTCTTTTTTTTTTCTTATTTCCCACCCTTTTTACTATACAATTTCACAAACAAAATAACCTCATCGACTACTGTAATCGTCATACGTTGTTATTGTAAGTTAGAAATTTCTTCTCGTTGTTTCTCATCGAGCTGTATTTCTTGGGAACTCGTTTCGCAAGCTCACTTGGATTTAGGGTGGGCGAGGTCAAGTCTTACTCTCTCTCTCTCTCTCTCTCTCTCTCTTTCTGGTTTTGGCTCCTCCTTCTATTTCTCTCACTCGTTCATTCGATTCGAATCTTCTAACTTTTCTGTCTTGACAATCCTTAAAACCCTATCTTCTTGACAGTTATTTTCTTGAATCCTTTATGATTAATTACTCACGCACCGATTGACGAAAAAATCAAGGAACATACACGCTGAATTATCATGCACCCACAGACACACACATACGGCACCAGGCCGGCCTCCTTTTCGACGTGCACCTGCACCCGCGCGCGCGGGGGACTGTCCAGGTTGCTACTATCGTTCCTGTCTTTTCTCCTCGGCGCTTCTCTTCTCTTCTCTTCTCTCCACGGGTGCAAACTTTCTCTCACCCTCGCACTAACACTCTCACTCTCTCTCTCTCTCTCTCTCTTTCTCTTTCTTTATCATTCTGCGCACCCTCTCTTACCACCACCTCTTTCCAAGCACCGAGTCTAGGCGTGCGCCATGCGAACCCCTGACAGCTCCGACCCTCGCGATTCGGGTCGATATCAACCACCACAAAACCCAGCAGTCGACGTCGAGTCCTACCTGCACCTCTTTCTGCCCTACCTATTCTACCTACAAACCTAACTATAAGAAAAAAAAAAAAAAAAAAACAACAACATTTTAAACGACAACTGAATTATATCTTATACAGAAAATCTATACAAAATATTATCTAGTTTTTTTTTTATCTTATAATAAGACAATTATTTTCTTATTTGTAATTTTTTTTTTGTTTTTTCCGATTACGGATCAGAAACAGAAAAAGAAAGAAAGACAGAGAGAGAGAGAGAGAGAGAGAGAGAAAGAGATCAATAAATTGTCCTAGGTTAATGATTATTTGAAAATCACTTGTGTTGATTATTAGGTGTAGAAATGAATTCGTTGCATTCTTAAAACCAAATATTTGAATAATGTCATTTTTGCTTAGCTGTCAAATGATTCATAATTGATATAAGTGTTGAGATACTCAACCGTCATAGACTAGCGGGTGATTATTTATTTACATTTTATTAAACAGAATTAGAAATAAATGAATATCAAGATATATCGAATGAATTTTGATATACAATAAAAATATGTACACGTATATATGTACACGTGTATTGCGATTAGATGCTAATCGGTAACTCGAATTTAGCGGTTATCTGGCGTACTTGCCAAATGACCTATTTACCTCCACTTGCGAAATCCTCTTATCGTTTTCTCTCGATCGTGTGTATACCTATGTTCTTACATATGTATCCTCGCTTTTGTCTAAATATTTTTTTTTCTCTCCAAGTCGGTGTAATTCTCTTCTTTGGTTCTTTTCTACCGGGTCACTAGATTCTTTGTTTTTATATTCCCTTTTCTTCCTTGGTAAAAGGAAATAATGGATAATGGGAACGTATGTTTGAGTAATCAGGTATATACAAGTTCGACAATATTTATCAAATTTTCTTCTAACCTTATCGATATATCGTTAATTAAGATATGCATAATAATATATATATATATATATATATATATGAATAAAACTTATAATTCAACGAATTGGCCCACATACCTTTTCATTATGAAATAAAAAATATTCAAAAGAATACACAATGGCAGTGTAAAATTCATGTAAAATTATTTTAATGACAAATATTATTGTACAATTAATTCGTAAATTGAATAATGGTACAATGATTATAATATGATAATAAAGAAAATAATTCAATGAGAATAATGATACTACAGTAATGTTAGAGAATATTTGAATATTAAATTTTCATCTTTTCGGTATTTGAAAATCATCGGGTACTACGTATCCCAGTTGTTCCATCTCTTTAACAATCTTCGGTACTTTGATCAAAGATTCAATCCATTTGTAATAAGCCAATTCTTCACGAGTACCACCGTACATCTTGGGCAAATAATTAGGTGAAATGTGTTTATGAAAGCTTAGCATGTCGTCTCCGTGAAAAAAAATTCTGTCCTTCATGCGAGAATTCAATAGTGGCTTGAAAACTGCATATATTGCGTCGAATATCCAAGATTGATGAAGTATATGAATGGAATGAGTTTTTATTGGAAAAGACGTTACCATTAAAGCCATGATCATATTTGCAATCTGTAAAAATCAACTTAATACGTAAAAAAGAACGACAAATAATGAATGAGATGAAATAAAAGTCAGACCTGAGGTGTTACTGTCCAAACGTGGGACATAGTGATACCCTTGAGATCGAAAACTACGATGCCACCTAAAATCTGAGCTCTTGGCTCGAGAATGCCCAGCTCTAGTACAATAACAGTGGCCTTGAAAATCTCCTCGACAGGGTACTTTCGAGGGTCCCAATTACCCATGCGATAAATCAGCATCCGTCTACCACATTCAGTTCTGTAAGCCGGTACAGTTATTACATCGTCGTCACCGATATGGCACATCTCGGTGGGACAAATATCCTGATGTATCTCTGGATGTTCTTCCTTAAAGTTGTAGTAATTCACTATCTATCAACAAGATTATATGAGATAATTGTTTAATATTACAAATCGTGTTAATTGACAAAGAAAAAGACCTTAAAAAGTTTTACGCACATTCGTGCCTATGTAAAACAGAAAAAAAAATTTGCATTTTATCACGTTTTAATCAGTAATTAACAAATAACAAGGTTAAACGTTATTATCTTTAGAAATTTTCTAAATAATTATATTATAGACTATAGGTATTCAAAATGATGATCGCGTTTGTTTTAATACAAAAATCTAACATTTTCTAAGTAATTTTTTATGCACGTTTTCTATTTCCCGTGATGTTATCGATTGACATGTAACTAGAATTCTTTGTGAAACTATAAACACGTAATAACGTGCAATATCGATTTAGTGCAAATTTCGTTTATAACGTTCTTGGCTAACGTTAAGATTACTAGGTTTTTTTTTTTTTTTTTTTCTTGCATTAAAACGACAAAAAACATGTAACTTTAGGCCATCGATCTTTTCTAGCAATAGGTTTGCCTTGGCATCGTTGCTCAACTACGATCACTGGTGAATGTTTCCTTTTACCACATTTAATCTGGAAAACTCCGTAGAAAAGGGAAAGAGAAAGAGAAAGAGAAAGAGAAAGAGAAAGAGAAAGAGAAAGAGAAAGAGAAAGAGAAAGAACAAGATAGATGGAAAAAAAAGGGCAGAGTTAATTTATTTTAGTATTTAATTATTTATATTTAATTTATTTTATTATATATTTAATTTATTTAATTTATTATATAATTTATTACATAATATATATATAATTTTATATATTTTAAAAATATAATTTTTTTTTTATAATATTTATTTCTTTATTTATATTTATTATCTAAAAGTTCATTAAAATTAATTAAATTAAAATGTTAGATTTATCGATAGATAAAACAGTTATTTATATTTAATTTATTTTAATTTATTTTATATAATTTATATATTATATAATATATATTATATATATTTTAAAAATATAATATTTATAATATTTATTTATTGATTTATATTTATATATTAAAATTTATTTCTTTTTTAAATCTATTATCTAAAAATTCGTGAAAATTAGTTAAATATAAAATGTTAGATTTATCGATAGATAAAATAATTCAAATATTAATTTGACGTAATTACTTTATTCGGTCTTTCGTCATTCAAGTAGAAATCATTAATATTATACCAAACAAATATAAAAAAAAAAAAAAAAATATTGAACGACTCACCAGTCGATGAGCACTATTGACGTTGAAATTTCTCGCACGAAGAAATCTTATCAGATACTCATCATCCATTCTCAGCGGTATGCATTCACCTTGTTCTAATCAAAGATCGAGGAAAAATGATTTATTAATTTAAACAATAAAATAAATCTTAGAATTTACCTGTTTCGAATATCATTCAAATGAGAATAATGAAAATTGATTGAATCTTCGGTCATCTTAATGATCGATAAAGTGATAACAAGTAACGAAAGTTGTCATTATTATTCTTACTAAACGATTAAAATTTTTGATGAAAGTTTGCCTGTAATTTCGATTCATTTCAAATTTTATTTGAATAACTTTATTCCCATTAAAGAGCTATTAAACAACAGTTTTCTCATAAAATTATCGTTTCATTCGTTTCCGACACATTTATTTAATATCTGTTATCTATAATAACTCTTCTAAACATTACTTTTCAAATTTATAATATTAAATATGTAATAATCGTGAATGAAACGTCATAATACAAATTTCAAATGTCAAATTGTTACCAAGAGATAAATAATATCGTTTTAGAATATACACATTTATTATACACGTTTAGATATCACATTAAATAATTTTATTTATTCACTTTTTATGAATATCTCAAAACGTCCGAGAATTAATTATCAGTGCGACGAAGGTCAAACGTATCTTGCTTGTTAATATTATTCAAATGATAGTTGTTGAATCACACATAAGATTGTTCAAATGTATAATATTACGAATGAAAACGAAAAATAATGATATGTACTTATTGAATTAAAAATGATGAAATAATACATTTTCAAATAAAATGATTAAACAATGAAATTATTAAATGATATTAAAATTCAAAATTAATTACCATAAATCATGTCGCGTAATTCTTGCAATGTTTGACATTTGACTTCATCCGTTTCACCAATTTCTCTTCTAGCATACTCCATAACTTCTGGGGGTGGTTCATCGAGATCGAGGTTAACGATCTCGTCGTTAAGCTCGATTAGCTCGTCCTTGAGTTCCGGCATTTTGGCAGCCTTAGAATCTTCTCTCTCATGAATGCACACCAATCTTTCTTCGTCCTTCCTATCGTTCAAACGTTGATTACATAAATGATAAACACCATTTTCTTCAACTTCTTCTTCTTCTTTTTCTTCTTCTTTAAGATTTTTCTTAGTTGTATCCTGTACCGGAATGAAATTTTGATCGTTAAGGGAGTTCATCATTTTTGATTGATTGATTGATTGATTGATTTCTTTTTAAAATAACGTTTGCATTCAATAATTGTTTAAAACGTTAGATATTATATTCTTAAATGCAAGCACCCGCACTATGTGACGCTGACACATTCACCGTCGATATAATACTTCACGTTTCACGTTTATCTTCGTGTATCGTGTTCTCGCACGATACCAACTAACCTCCTTCTCTTTTATTCCTATGTCGACATATTTGCAATGTTTAAGCTAACTTCACACCGCACCCTATTTGTTTTTATTATTTAAATAATATGAATTCAAACACAACGGCGACAAAATATTACGATGAAAATAAGAATTTTCTTTACACACGATGATCTGTAATGTTGACTGACGGAAAATACGAACAGACAGAGAAAGAGAAAGAGAAAGAGAAGACAAGACAAGAGAGGGGGGTTATGCGTGTCTCTTGCGAAATATGGTCAGGGTCATCCTGTTGAATCTACTATGGCTTTGTGCTTTCACTGACAACTGTAATAGTGGGTAAAATGTGCGGTAATACTTGCAGAATATAACCGACATGCTTCTTCGATTACCTTAAAATACATCCTGCATTCGTTCCCCAACATTTCTTTTCGAAAGCGGTTAAAACTAAGTTACTAGAAATTTTCTAATTACATCACGAACAATATAACTTTCGAGATAACACATCTCAATTCTTTTGTTGTTGTTTCTTTTACTTCTATTTTTTCCTTTTTTACTCTCTGTTATTATCGTTAATGATATATGCCAAGATTTGTTCGCGAAGTCATGAAATTATATTCGTTTGTGGGTCATTTGAAAAAAAAAAAATTGCATCTTCCGGTGTTATACGTTTTTATCCTTTTTTTTTTTTTTTTATTTCTATTCTGTTCTTGCATCACGCTGCAATCAAATGAAGATACTATATTTCTTATTGAATTTAATTAGAATTATAAATGGCACGTATGATGAAAATATTTTTTCATATTTTTAAATATACTTTTATAAGAATCGAAATATTCCTTATTCTTCTTCTACTTCTTCTTCTTCTTCTTCTTTCATTAAATAAAATGGAAGAAATTATATTGATAATAGGCATTAATAAATTAATACGTATCTAATTTATGGTTGTTTATGAATTTATAATCAATGCAATAAGATTGCAAGAGACGTTTAATAAAAAGTAGTTTCATCATTTGATTTATTTAAACCAAGAATTGATCTTTAGACCGAGGAAAGACAATGGTAAATGCTAATGAAACAAAAAATAAAAGACAAGGATAGAAAAAGAAATAAACGAAGAAAAAATATTAATGCTGATTTACGTATGATTCATATATATTCTTTTTTTAAAGTTTTTTTTTATCAAATTCGTAATAATGCACTATGGACTCATATGTATCCTTTACTTCTTTTAAGCATTGAAGTGTAGATATAAAAAAAACCATCATCTTTTTTTCCTTATCTCATTTGATATGTTAACTATGATATTAAATCTATTCGTTACGCAAAAGACATAAAAAATAGGCTATTACATTTATTTCTAACTCATGTCTATGCTTAATTATGGCAATTAACACCAAGTTAGTTCTTTGTAAAGTCATTCGGTTGCAGTGAATATAATTATAATTATAAAGTCATCCGAAGGTCATGATTCATTGCATTCGTATTAATACAGAATATAATATTATACTTATCATATATTATATATACATATGCTGTATATACATATATATATATATATATATATATATTTATATTGTTTTATATTTGTTGTTATCAAAAACATATTGGGACTTATGTAAAAGAAACTTCTGATTAAATTTGTTATTATAATTTTCGATTTTACAAAAATGAAACATCATCAAAAAAAATTATATATTATATATATATTTAATTATTAAAATTATATATTAATTATAATAATTGTTAAAATTTTAATTAAAAATTATTACAATAAAAAATATTAATATAATATATTATATTAGATAAATTAAATATATATAATAATTATTTAACTTTTTTTTTTTAAGTTAAATAAAAAGTTTTTGTATTATATAATACAAAAAATTATATTATATTATATATACGTTT